CGGATGGCATAAATCAAACAATTACATGAACTAAAATGGCCAATGCAAGCCTGGGATATAATCTGAGCTCTACACGCACGAGGGCTAATGGAAGAGTTAATTTTAAAGTTACCCTGCATAGTCGAATAATGTATTTTACAATGATTATTCTTGACGATGTCTTGAAATACGTTATTTTACATTGGTGATGTAAGTTGCCGTGGAAACTGGCCAGCATGGCAAATTTATTTCTCTCCCACTTGACATGAATGCACGTTATCCGCCAAGGCAAAAGGGAGTGGCTTTCTCCGGCGTGTTTGTTCAATGACATGCTGGCACTCTGACGTGGTAGAGCTGTGTGGTCCAGCCACGCTTGATCTTGTCTCGCGCTTGCGCAGACGAACGGTAGTTTGCCTCGTCACTGCAGACTGCAGGTGCTTCCCCGGGATCTCCAACAAATATTGTTTGTTGTAATTGGAAGTTTTAGTCCATGAGCCCAGACCAGATATTTCCCTTACCGGTACTACCCGCGGTGGCATGACTTCAGACGTTATGAGCCTAATACGAGTGAGTTATATAACTGTTTAAAATAAGTGGGTTATAAAATAATTCATTCTTATTAGCCACGTGCATGCATCGGCACGACTAAAGTGTTGCAACAATGGGTGGTACCAATTTCTGCATTGTCTCATGGACTAGTTGAGATGGCAAGCTGTAAGACCGTGCGTCTTCCGCAGTGGTGTCACCTTGGACTCGACTCATTGAGTTTGAAGTCTGTCGTGAGTTTTCTCACGAGCAAGAATGGTTATGAACAGCTGACCTGGCAGTAGGCATACTTGTAATCAACTATTATGGTCTGTCCACTTGTAATTATAACTTCATAAAATAATACAAAGAACTTAAAAAAATGGACAGCAGCATTAATTTAGCTAGCCAATCCTTAAGAGACAAAAAAAAATACAATGCAAAATAGAATTAGAAAACCAACCAGCAAACATGCTCATTTTGCAAGCGATCATGCAGGGTAGTGTTTATCCAGAAAATGTAGTCTGTGTTGTTCAGCACTTCAGATTTAAAGATAACAAAAGTAAATCACTCCCTTGTGTTTAATCTTACATTCTAAATATGAGAGTATAAAGATATAATGCACAAACTATTTTAAGCGACAATACATTCATGATCATAAAAATTATATCTGATAATAGACGTGATTTTTTTCTTAACAAAAAGGACATGTGAACTACACACCAACTTTAAACACGTTCATCTTTTACCCTACGTACCGGCTTTTGATTAATTGTTTAGAGTTTAGACTCCTTCAGTGTTTTAGCCACTCCTTACATTCTTCCGAGCCATGGCAATGGCGGTCAGTGAACATCATCGCAGAAGGAATTCTGGTCAACATAATCACCTGCACCAAATTCATTGATGCGTGTCTGCCATGCCCGTGGGCTTTGCAGATATATTAATGTCTGCAAAGCCCTACATTTGCTCTTAAACCTTTATATACACATTAACACATATGCAATAAGCAATATGTTTATGATTTATCCAAACTATTTTCAAAATGATGATGTCATGCCATGAATGGGAACAAAAATATATTCAGAATTATGTCAAATTAACGTAGATGCCATGTTAGAAAATATCCTTAAAATTAGATTCCATAGAACTCTTTATGAGATCCCTTCAAATGACTTCTGATCCACACACTAGTTTCAAACTCGCCCAGATCCCAAAATGTATATATGTTTCCAGCATTCGAACATGTGCGAATACATATTTGCATGTTTTGGTGACTAATCTGAGATCATCAACACTACCCTGGGGAAACAAATAGCTTTTAATGTTTCTCATAAATTCGAGCAGTCGCAAAGTACCTAATCAATATGGCTAGCACAATCTCGTCAGTTCGTGCGTAACAGCTGGTCCCCCGCTGAGGCTAGCACGTTGATCGAGTTTCATGGTATTAATGTTGATATGAGTGATTTCAGTGTTGTTACTCATTTTGTTAATTATGAATATATTTCTTAATCATGCTGAATTAGTAATTTAGCTCAATCACGGTCGTCTTACAAGCAGCCCTAACACACGATTTACTGTAACTTTACATAAGCCCAATATCATATCATGGGTTACGAGCAGTTATGAGAAATCGCAAACTGAAATCACGACATTGCTATTATGCGGTAACATTTTGTAACAATCACAGGCTGTTTCTGCATTCTAACATGGTATTTCTGTAGTACCTACTCAGTGCTCGAAACTCTTGAGTCGATGTGTTGTGTGCATAAATGCGTACTTTTGTATATTCGTCAGTGTGTATGGCTATTTAATGTGGCTGCGTGTATATTTAATTTGGTGACAGCAATGTACGTGTGTGTAGGTATGTATTGTTTATTTAAGGTCGTTTTGTGCACATTCCCGTGCGTTTATATTTGTGCATTAGTGTAAGCATGTAACTGTACTACGAATCCAGCGATTCGAGTCCAATTCCTGTTCACAGCCAACACCAGTGACGATTGTTTGAACCGGTCTTGGGCCTCCCCTAGATCAACTCAGCCTCAAATGAGTACAGGCGTGTCTCGCTGAACAGGCGTTCTTTCACGATAATTCCCACAAATTAGCATTTAGAATTTTGCCCAATTTGTTCGCAAAAAGAGAAAATGTTCGTGTAACGAGCCGAGACAGATCGATCAAATCTGTCCCGTGGCGGCAGAGGGCGCAATGTGTCCCGCAGTTTATTGCATTCATTACGCGCTTTCAGATGCACTTCTGCGGCCGTCTGGAACGCTCTTCCAATAGTAGTAAGCCACTGGAGTTATGCTCGAAGGGGATTGTTGTGAAAGTTTCCAAATGAGAGCAGCAACCCCGATGGCTCAAATAGCAAAAATGTCTGAAGATATTACAATTGAAAGTCAATCCTCATGAGATATAGGTATTTTTAGTCTTGTAAGATTGTGGGAAATGTTGGGGTGGAAACGCAACTTAGCTTTTAACATGGGAGTCAATGGGGAAACGATGATCATTAAACGAATTTTCCCTGAACGAGAAATTTTAGCGGAACGTATCTCACTCATTAATCGAACACGCCTGTAGCTGGTGAGCTGTAGAGTAAACATCGCCAACTTCGGAGACAAAGGCGGCATGGCGTGGTGCTGGCCACCCACCCCCTTGTGTGCCGTGCCAGCCTTCATAGGTGATTGCTAACAGCACTTGCCCCAAGAGAATGTTAAGGATATATGGGGATCTTTGCCTTTGTATGCATGTTATTGTTTGGTTCTATTCGGTAAAGTCACGTAAAAAAACAACAAAAAATAAAAAAAAATCACGACGTTTCGGCCACTTGCGTTGTGGCCGAAACGTCGTGAATTTTTGTATTTTTTTACGTGACTTTACCGAATAGAACCAAAGAGTATGGATCCTTGCAGTCACGAAAGCTTTAAATCTAGAATTATACGTATCATGATTTATTATATACTGTATTCAGGAATGTTACATACAAAATATTTACTATACGTATACCTCTACACATGTTATTGCTAAGTAACATGTTCAGATTTTCATTGAAATCTAGAGCAATAACGATTAATATTATTAATTTTAGCATTAGTAATAGGTTTTTACCCTTTTAGCTGGCACAAAAACTGACACCTTTATACAAGGGATCATGTTTGCAATAACCACAACACAAGCAGTCAAAAATGCAAACAAAAAGAAACAACTCTGATAATGATATGCACTGTCCTTAAATTTGATTGGTCCACACCCGAGACGGCTTTTCTTAGAGCCTAGTCTCCACTGGTGTTGGACCAGGCGTACAACTCAAAAACAGCGCACTATCAGAGTATTGAGAGCTCGGGGTAAGCCTTTACATTATGAGACCTCCTTTGCCAGTAACAAGATATAGTAATAGGTTTTTACCCTTTTAGCTGGTGTCATCTGGTCCAACACCATTGGAGACTAGGCTCTAAGAAAAGCCGTCTCGGGTGTGGACCAATCAAATTGAAGGACAGTGCATATCATTATCAGAGTTGTTTCTTTTTGTTTGCATTTTTGACTGCTTGCATTGTGGTTATTGCAAACATGATCCCTTGTATAAAGGTGTCAGTTTTTCATATTCTTAGCTCTTTCGGTAAAGTCACGACACACCTGATGACGACCGTTTGTGTTATGGTCGAAACGTCGTGAGAATTTTTATTGTTTTATATATATTTTATTATTTTATTGTTTCCCTTCAAAGTGACTTTACCGAAAGAGATAAGAATGTGTCAGTTTTTGTGCCAGCTAAAAGGGTAAAAATCTATTACTATATATTGTTTCTGGCAAAGGAGGTCTCATAATTTTAGCATTATCAATCTTTTTTAAAATAAACTTTTACTTTAAAGTCAATACGTAAATTATAAAGATATGCAGATGTTGAGATATTATGGTCTTACATTATGCAAATCATAAACATAAATCTGGAAATAAAAGTCGTGACATAATGTAATTGATTGAGTTAAAGTAGTAAGTTATAAAATTCATTAAAACTCCGGATATATTATTCAAACTCGTGATAATTTCCTGGTGCAAATTTGAGATGATATCCATTGGAGTATCATTCAGGTGTACAAATTTGTGATTTATAAAAAATATATATAGTCAACTTTAATTAGCAGTATTGCTTTTTAAAAAAGGCATATTATTACATTATTAATAGATTCCATATTTAGACCTTATTCAGGTGATTGTGTGCGTGACTTCACCAGTTTTTACGTCGCCTTCCTTCCACTTGACCTCCATAGACCACAAAGACAGACAGTGAATTAGAAGTAGAAATGCAACACGATGGAAATTGCCACCAGCGAGTACGTACAGCTATAATGTTCGCCCAACCACTTGATGATAATCATCAAGTGGTGAATATCATCATTTTTCGAATAGACTTCAGGCCTGAAGAATCCTGAAACATATTAGGCGAATAAAAATGACAGATAAGGCTTCATGAACCATACTGCTGCAGCTGTTATACAGTTGATTGTTGTTGCTGTTATCGCTTGTGCCGCTGCATGTAGATGCTGATGCTTCACAACCCTAGTCTACAGCAAGTGGTTGGTCACAATGGTGAGCATTCCAGCTATACTCACTGGTAACATTCTATCTATCGTGTTACATTCCCTCGCCTAATTTACTGATTGCCTGTGGTCTACGGAGGACGGGTAAAGGAGGGCAACAGAAGCGGCAGCTCATGATGAAGTCAAACACACATGTTATCGTAGTTGAATAAAGTAGATTTTTAAAAGTTAAGGCTGCAGGAACCTCACATGTAAATGAAGAGAATTGTTTTTAATTCCAATTGTATGAATTGATTTGCAACGTCAACATATGCTGATATTTTGTAAAAACGTAGTTGTACTTTGCTCTAAGCGAATTGATCGTCATCATCACCATCACTTTCTTCTATTCCTGATATGGCTGAGGGATTTTCTACTTCTAGTGGTAGGACTGCCGTTAATTGTTTCTGAATAGAGTTCAGTCTCTTTTGAAGTTTTATGTCATGCTCTTCTTTAGATTCCAGAGCCAACTTCCTTATCCCTTCTTGAGCAATTGTACAATTTTCACTGAGTTCTTCTTCGGCTCGTGCAAGTTCACCCGTTTTCTCATCCAGAGCTATGAGCTTGCCAAGGCTGCTGACATTATCCATAAGGTAACGGTTAGAGACTTCGACGTACGCGCCAGAAATCATGTTTACCAAGTGTGATACTGCAGCTGCTTGTGAAACCTGAGTGTAGATGGTGTCTTTTAAAAAATCAATTCGTGTTGAATGTAATGCCAATTTTGAGACTTGTTTGCATTCTTCCGTGAAATGGGTTAGCTCCTTGTGGAGACACGTGTCAATAAGATTGGATATCATTTGAAAAAAGCGCACAAGCTTTCCCCATTGCTCTCGAATAAGGGCAATTGCTTTGAGACCTTTAACGAGCATTTGAAGGGAACTCTCAAAATCTATTTGTTTCCGATCACGTTTTTGCATATCTATAAGTATCTCATTAAGTTCCCTGTTGGTTTTCTGTAGATTCTCGTGGACCTTGTCATGTTGTTCTTGTGTTAATTTAACTTGTTCTGTGGCGTTCTGCAATTGCATGCGGGCATTTTGCATCACCATGTCAGACATACTTCCTTGATTTGGGATAGACTGTTTAGAGATGTTTGGTGGCCTTGCAGTAACAATTGGAGCGTTTAGAACTGCTTTTTTTCCCCTCAAAAAATTCTCCATACGTTTTTTCAACTTATAAATGTTTTGGGGGATTCTATTTTTATATTTTGGATTCACTTCTTGGTCTTTTTCTGAGCACATGATTTTGTAGCATAATTTTTCTGCAGAGGAACATATTTCCATTGCAGTTTTCTTTTCTGGGCAGTCATCTGCTTCACTCAATTTATTGTAAAATGTTTGGAATTCCTTTTGTAACATAGTGTAATGAATTTGTTGTTCCTCCATATTTTGTAAGTTTGATCTATCTGGCACGCTTATCATTTGTATGAAGGCGTTCATAGTGGCAGATATAGTGAAAATGTTGTGTTGTACATATGTTGATCCGCTATTCATTGGATCTATATCATTGCTTGCATCTTGAACATTACCTGTCGTTTGAACTTTTCCACATCCAGTTATATATTGAAAGGTTGCAACAGATATTGCACTTTTTATGCCATTAATTAGGCCTTCTGTGAGTGACACTTTAAGCATCGTGTATGCATCCGGAATGTTATCTACAGATTCCTTGTGGTGTTTCTTAGCTCCTTCCAACTCCTTTTCCATTTGCTTAAAAACCATTTCAGAATTCTCTTTTTCTTGTTTTGCTAAGTCATTCTTAATCTTAAGGATTTCCAGTTCCTTTTTGATATTAGACAAATCATTTTCGTACTGACTTTTGGAATTTGTGCAAGCTTCCAAAAGCTCTCCAGTGAGCTCCATGACGTTATTAAATTCATTTTCAACATCTTGAGCTCTTTTCAAACAGGTATCTGCCGTAGCTTTTATTTTTTTAAGATGAAGGGGCAAAATCAACTCAACTGCCTGTGTATCAGTGTGAGTCAATATTTTCACCACTTTTGTCATTGTTGACGGTATAGATTGTGAAAGAAGTCGAATCTGATCCATGCCTGTGTGTGCCTTATTGAATGCTTTATATCCAGCATTGCTAGTCTGAACAAGGGTTGCCCGAAAAGATTTTGGGTACCTGATGAACTTGTAACCATCTTTAGGCATATTTTGATCAATTGGAAAGTCATTACCAGTTGACACTACAAGCAGCTGACCCAATAATGCAATAGTCATTGGTGCTGGAATAAAAAATTCTTCCCAGTTTGTGTATGGTTGCATCATCATCGCTAGATCTTCTCTGAGATCAGCTGCCTTTGTGATGCTTAACATTGCAGCACTGACTTTGGCCACCGCTTGTTCATCTTCATTTGCCATGTTTATTTGCGTCTGAAAAGGAGAGAACAAACGTATTTGTTAAAGATGAAATGCACCTCAATCCCATTTCATCCACTTGTGAGCAATGATTTCAGCTACGGTGCTCAGGGGTCATTCTGTATATGATGTAAATTACAATGAGACTTTGTCTGGAGTTGTCTATTTTCCCACCTCTTCTCTCTACATATTACTCAGTGTTATACAGGTGAGTGTTAGGATGTTTATGGCACACGTGTGAATTGTGTGAGTGACCCAAACACACTATGAAATACAATTATACATTGCTCATTTAATTTTTACGAATTTAGTTTAATCAGCCGATAATATGACCATCAGCTGATTAAAATGTGTGAGATTAAAACAAATTAAACATTAACTTTTTATTTATTGTGAAACCCATAATATGCTAGGTTTTATGATTCCCCACCCCATCTATGATACTGGCGTCATGAATATATTCGCAAAAAAACATTGTTTCTTCTTGTGAGTACAAATCATCTGCAGTGATGCAAAAATGAGTATACAGGTGTGAATATATAGTTTTTTTAGAATTCATATAATACAATGTCAATAAGCTATAACAATGCATTATTATTATTATTTAAAGCATTTTAACAAACACGATTCATGTTAGTAAGCCCGAAGGAAGGAATTCAATTCAAGGAAAAAACATGTTGGTGGAATAGAGATATGTAAAATAGTATGACGAAGTAAAAATACAATCAGTCCATTTAAATACTGGAAGATTATAGGAAGAGGAGGGGCACTCACACTGACGATGCTCTTCAACAATCCTGTAAAAAAAGGTTTTCAAATGTCTTGCAATAATGCACCTTGATACATGTGTTCAAGAGTAAACGAGGCATCTGACAACATGGTGTTAAGCTGACAGGCCATACCTTAAAATCTATGGGGAACGGTTATCGAATCTTTTTAGATCAGGAGTGGAGAGATCAATGAAAACAGTTGGACTTCATGCCAGTAAGATGGATAATATGCTGAAATTAAATCCCTGATCTTCACACGGTATGTATAGACCTGGATCGACATAAGAGTGCCACGTAAAATAATTAGGCGGTGTCCAAGAACAAGGAGTGTCTCTAAAACCTATTTGAGACCAGTAAAAAAAACATGTATACGAGAAAAAAAGACCTCAATGGAGAGCTTCTGCCGAAGCTTCTGCCGAAGCTCTGAATTATTTTCCGTCCCTTTTCCTCGTTGTTTGTACTTGTCCTAGACACCGTGACAAGATAAACACAAAAGTCGAACATTTTGCATGTTAGTTTCTCGTGGTATTGTGCTATGTGGCGAAAATAGATGAAGTGTAGCAAAATCTGTAAAGATGGATCTACTGCCTGGGAAAACATATGTGGATAGGTAGAGCAAGATACAGAATATGACATTTCAAAAGAAAACAGGAAGAGCAAAATAAGCAAGAAGTGAAGTTTAGAGATACCTCGCCACTGAAAGCCAATGTGGTCAAGTGTCTTGGGTTAACAGTATAAGAGCGTGTTCCAATGAACAATGAGCTAAAAGTGAGGATCCCAAAGACATGACTAAAATGTAGAAAAAAACAAGTACAGTGGTTTACGATGGGAATATGCCAAGTTGATTGAAGGAAAGAGTATATATGACAGTAGTAATAATAATATTATTGATATTCTGGAGGACAAGATGCTGTAAAATTATGAATAAAAGATGGATCTGAGTGATTAATATAGTTATTGGGTCAGACATTAAGAAAGCGAGAGTGGTACCTGTCAGACAATCTCAAATACTTTCTATTCAGATGGTTGGGACTTAAAAGAGAGGAAAAGCACAATGTAAGAAAGGTGATAAATATTAATGCACTAGGACAGAGGCCAAGATGCAGGCTCCAAAAGCAGTGGTTTGAAATGGTGAACGGGGTTATAAAGTACTGATTGGTGTCCGTGATGGCCCAGCACAAGAATTCGTGGACTATGATAACCCACAATTATACCCACATAAGTGGGAATAATGCTAAAAATGCATGCATGCAAACGCATAATTTGATGCATTAATGCTAGAAAACATAAACATTGATTGTATTGTTTAATTGATGAGGTATTGTATTGCTATTTTGCATTGAGTTATTCACACACCATGATTCAAATCCCATTGTCACATTTGCGGTTCATTATTCGATTGAATATTGTTTGCTTGTTTCGAAAGCAGACGATATAATGGACGACTGGTAACATAATTAATGCCATTCTTTATTTCAACTAAACAACCATCACATTATTTTGCTCCCATCATTTACAGAGATGTTGACAAATTACATAAAAACATATCGTTAAGCCCCAGAACCGATGTTCATATGATGCCACATCACTATTACAATTTTACAACCCAGGAACTGAGACTTTAATGACAGATCGTGAAAAAACGCCGACTTATTTCATTCAAAATTAAAATGATTAGCTTATTATATAACCATGTTTAAAATTGTAGTAACTTTGTACTAAAATTATAAGCATGCTGATTGTTCAAAATATAAACTGCCTTTACCGCTTTTGTCACTGATATATTTGCTATATATTGTTTGCTATTAAAACTACTGATGTGTATAGAGATACACGTACAGTTTGTTTTGGGAATTATATATTTTTGACAATTATAACTGGGCACTATAGAATAATAAAATGCTCTCGAGTTACTATGATTTTGATTAAACAGTGTAGCTATTATTTCGTCCATTATCAGATGAGTCACTTTTGTTTTATGGTTATGTATAGTATATATTAAGTATTGCGTTTAAACGTTTAATTGTCAACGTTTTAAACATATGTAATATATTACAGAGTATCTTCAAAAAGGCCCTCATTCTCCTTCAGGACAAACTGCACTCCATTGGTGGAAAATACCTCAAATCTATGGGACTACCAACGCTCTACAGGGCCAACCTGCATGTCCTTGCTCAAGAGGTCCTACATGAAATATGCTATTACGCTTTATAAGCTTCTTAAATATATTTAGGAAAATTGACCAAAGCTGATGGATGCACAAATAGAAGCCTACACGAAAATCTTGGAAGACATTGAGACTACAAATCGAGTCATTTTTTCTTTAATGCACCTGCCAGTACTGAGAAGAGCTTTGTTTCAAACTGCTCGTCGCTAAGGCTCGCCAGAGAGAGAAAATTGTTCTAGCTGTGGCATCATCGGGGATTGCTGTGCAATGCGATGTGTGTGTGTGTGAGTCGATGTGTGTGTGTTTGAGTCCATATGTATGTGCGTTTAGGTCCATGTGTGTGTAAGTCGATGTGTGTCTGTGTCTTTTTTGCCCGAGCAACGCCAGATATCTGTGTGTACGTCGATGTGTGTGTATAAGTCCAAGTGTGCTTGTCAGTCCATGTGTGTGTCAGTTGCTGTGTGTGTGTGTTAGTCGATATGTGTGTGTTAGTCGATGTGTGTGCATGGCTCCATGTGAATGTGTGTAAGTCAATGTGTCTGTGTCTATGTCAGTAGATGTGTGTGTACGTCGATGTGTATGTGTGGGTGAGTCCATATGTGTGTGTGTTAGTCCATATGTGTGATTAAGTCCATATGTGTGTGTTTAGTCAATGTGTGTGTGTGTGTGAGTTGATATGTGTGTGTAACTCCATGTGTGTGTTTCTAAAGTCCATGTCTGTGTGTGTGAGTCCATATATGTATGTGTGTGTGGGCCAATGTGTGTGCGAGTCTATGAAACATCTTCGCCGGTGAGAAACATTTAGGCTGGCCTGCCTACAATCCATCCTGGGTTTAACCAGGCTGGATTGTGTGAGGAGCTCACAAATCCTTGAAAGAGCTGGGCAAAGTCCCATCGGTGAGCTCCTCTGGCAGGCAAGGCTGCATTGGCTGGGCCATGTAGCCCGTATGCCCAGCCAGCGCATGCCTAAATAGCTTTTGTTCGGCCGGATAGAGGGGGCTAAACGGGCGCGTCACGGGCTAGAGAAGAGATGGATGTGGTACAGGAGGACGTGGAGCTGAGTGGACTAGCCGATGACTGGTACCAGCAGTGTCAAGATCGGCCTCAGTGGAGGAGGCTCGTGAAGGACGCTACTGGGCAGTTAGAGGCAGTCGCCCTCCAACAACAACAGAGGGCGGAGGAGCGACGCTCACAACGAGTGGAGCGCCGGGTGGCTAAAGCACAGCAGGTTGGCACAGTAGGGGGCACAGGTGGTGCATTAGCCAGTCATCTCAGTCAGTCGACCTGTGGCACCTGGGTCTGCCCCGTGACCTCCTGCCAGCGGGCGTTCGACACTTCACGTGGCCTTAGAGGTGCACATGGCCTGGTACAAGCGTCGTGGTGACGTCACCACACTTAGTGGCGAATGGCGGTTGTTGTTGTGTAAGTCGATGTGTGTGCGTAGGTCCATGTGTGTGCTTAGGTCGATGCGTGTGTGAGAGTCTACATATGTGTGTGAGTTGCTGTATGTGTGTACGTTGATTTGTGTGTAACTCCATGTGTGTGTATCTAAAGTGGATGTCTGTGCGTGTGAGTCCATATTTCCGTGTGTAAGTCGATGTGTTTGTGTGTGTGTGGGTCGATATCTGTGTGTGTGTCTAAGTCGATGTGTGTGTGTGTCTTTTTCGCACGGGCAACGCTGGGTACTTCCCGATAGTAGTCTATAAACACAAGATTATACATTAATATATTAAAGATGCATGAATGCATTGCACATTCATTGAAATACAACTAATATCAACTTAATTCGCATGCTCTTGTGGTGCGAGAAGGCAACCACAGACAAGCATGAAGGCAACATCTACGCGCTGAGCTCGCGCCAATTCTTGATCCGTATGGCGGTACCCCGGGGTAGCAAATAATACAAAATGGCCGAGGCAATTAAATATTTTATTTCTGGGACACTATTTTTTCCAGGGGTGTGCTTAACTCCAGGACTGGGGCACCAATCAATTCGAAATCAGTGCTACTCCGTGATGTCGAAACGACAAACAGCATAAAAAAATCCGTGATCGAAAAATTCAACTTTGAATAGTGGCATCGTGTACAGCTAGTCGAGATGAGTCGATTGCCACATCGCCGACCATCAACAGACTAAAAATGACTACATAACGGAAATTATGCGAGGGCCGGGGTATGAAGCTTAATTGCTCAAGTTCTACATTATTATATAAACAAAGACGCTTTAAACGCACCTAGGGGGGGTCAGACATTTGTGATGATGTGTGACGAGGGGGGGTGTTTGAGAAATGTGACGTCACATCAAAATGCGCAACTTTAAATAAATATATAATTTTACAACAACACTAATTGTTATAACAACACTCCTACAACATCAGAGTGCAGCGCCACATTAAATACACACTACAATGACAATAGTTTAAAGCGATTTGAAGCATGTTTTATTTGCAAAATGGAAATATGGTTTTGGATGGGGAGGCAGAGCTTTGTGACATCATATTTGAGGGTCTGACTTTTTGTGATGTCGTGACGAGGGGGGGTAAAAAATCGTCCAAAATCGAGACGTCACTTATGGACGGCCCCTAAAATCAATGAGTTTTTATGTGTGCTGAAAGCGAGCAGCACATCTGAAGGCCCGAACAGCACACGAGGGGGTGAGTAGCCAGCACCACACCCGGCCGTATTTGTCTCCCCAGTGGCGATGTTCAGTACACACCGCAGCAGTTACGTATTTAAGGCAAAGTCTACCTAGATGCAAGAGGATAATCGTCACAGCTATTAAGACACACAATCACATTCACACGCACCCGAAGTCTTAACAGACTGTTGGGGCAAGTGCTGTTAGCGAGGAGGACCTAATAATGGCCAACACGGCACACAAACACGTCTTTGTTTCCCAAATGGCGATGTTTATACAACACGCAAAATACTTATTTGAGGCTGAGTCGACCCAGGGGAGGCCCAGGAGCGGTTCTAACAATCTTCACTGGGGTTGGGCGTGAGGGGGAATCGAATTTGGGTTGCCGGGTTTATAGTGCAGCGCGCTAATTGCTACATTACCGCTCCCATCTATGATGAGTGGTATCTATGATACCACTCACACTACCGCTCTTGACACAAAACACATACACACTCCCAGTGGTGATGGTAGAACTCATTACAGCTGGCGGAGCATCGCTCGTTTCACCAGTACGAGTTTGCAAATTATATTAAAACAGTGTTCACGGAATTTGTTATCTGCGTGTCGTCGTAAGTGTGCTTTTGTCCAGTTAGTGTGTCAACTTACAATCAGTTGGACT